TCAATATCCACAGTAATGAGCCATGTTGACACTGTGCACCCTGGACCCTACGGGGTGAGAAGGGCACTTTACCTCTGTGATCTTCCTCCCCCAAACCCATAACCCTAGTCTAAACACGACAAAAACGTGAGACAAAACCCAATTGAAGGACATTCTATAAAATGACCAGTACGCCTCAAAACTGTCAAGGTCATCAAAAACAAGAAAAGCCTGAGAAACTGTCACAGCCAAAAGGAGACACGACAGCCAACTGTCATGTGGTGTCCCAGACAGAATCCTGGAAAAGAAAAAGCACCGTCCAACAGAAATATGCAAGAGCCACACATGTGATTTACAATTTTCTAGTAGTCATATTGAAAAATTAAAAAGAAACTGGTAAAATTAACTTTAATAATATATTTTATTTGAGCAAACATATACAAAATATTGTCACTTCAATATATAATCAGTATGAAAAAATATTGAGCTATTTTACATTCCTTTTTATTCCTACTAAATATTTGGAATTGGGGGTGTACTTTACACTTAGAGCACATCTGTTCAGACGAGGCACACTTCAAGTGCTCAGGAGCCACCTGTGATGGACAGGGCAGAGCTAAATAAACAGCTATGATCTAAAGTTGACACAATTAAATTAGCTTAATCACAGTGATCACTCTGCGTTAACTGTAGGCTAATACACACATATTTGTTCCCCTGAAGAATTTCACTTTGTGATGAAAATGACAACAGAAAGAGCAGCAGCAGCTTTGCTGTAGTTCTCTACACATGTTGGTTTGTCTGGAGTTTCTTTCCACAAACTTTACCGGGGGGACAGTTTGTCCACACCACGGACTTAAATAAAAATCTCTATGCTGATGAGCATAGAACCTAGTAGATCTCAATTTAAAAAAATAAAAAAAGACAAGCCAGAGACAAAATATTTGCAAATCACCTATATTCTAAAAGACTTATATCCAGATATATAAAGAATTCTCAAAACTCAATAAGGAAACAACCTAAAAAAAAGGGCAAATATTTTACAGACATTGTTTCAAGGCAAATAATCAAATGAAAACATGCTCGACATCACTAGACCTTAGGGAAATGCAAACTGAAACCACAACAAAATGCCACTACTCACCTACTGGAATATCTAAGGTTAAGAGGGTTGAGCACAGTAAGCACTGACAAGGATGTGGAACAAGTGGAACTCTCATATGCAGCACTGAGACTGTAAAACAGGCCACTTTGGCAGTCTCTTAAAAAGTTACACATAAACCCACAGATGATCTAGCCATCCTCTCCTAGTCACCCAAGAGAACTGAAAGCATTCATCCACATGTAGGCTTGTACACAACTGTTCATGGCAGCTTTATTTACAGTAGACAAACACTGGAAACAATGCAAATAGCCATCAACAGGTGACAAGATAAACAAATTGTGATATACCCACATAAACTATGCACAAAGCAAAAGGAACTCTACACAGGCAACAAAAAGGAATAGATCTCAAAATAATTATGGTTAGTGAAGAGGCCAGAAACATACACAAGTACATTTTCTTTAATTCTGTTTGTATAAAATTCTAGAAAATGTAAATGACCCATGATAGAAAGACCAGTGGTTGCATGGTGGGGGACGTGACGGGGGGCGGGGAGTGGAGGTGGTTACAAAGGAAACTTCTCGGGGGGGGGGATGGTGGTGGCTTCCCTGGTGATACACACGTCAGGCCTGGTCAGACTTAGACTTAAACCATTTGTGGTGTGGTTACAACTAGCTAGTGAGGCTGCTACTGGGTCTTGGTGTGCTGTATGTTCTCATGCGTTTGTGTTTCTTCTTTAAATTACTAACTGAGATGCTTCGAATGTTTGTAGAATTTATATTGGCTTAAGGGGCCTGCTATAACTTATAGACTTCATTGTAAATATTGCTATTAGATTTTCTTAGTCTGTCATTTATCTTAACTCTTGTAGTGTTGCCTTTTACTGTGTAAATGTTCCATTTATGTAGTCAAAATCTGTCATATCATCCTTTATAATTTTGCCCTAGATGTCATGTTAAGAAAGTGTTTACAAACTCTGAGGTTATAAAAATGCCTCATTTTTTTCTAGTAATTGTAATGCTTTTATTCTTCATATTTAAACTAACACCTCTGAATTTGTTTTCTTGTATAATGAGTTAAAGCTCCTACTTTAAATTTTCTCCAAATGGTTTACCTGAAACCACTTACCCCAAAGCATGAATTGAATAATCAGACATTCCACATATCTCTGAAGTATACCTTCAGTATACTAAAGTTTCAGGAATATTGGCATTTTTTTGGATACTTTATTCCATTGCAGTGCTGTTTCTTTTTATTCTTGTGCCATACCACTTTAGACACTGTAGTGTTGTATTTTGATATACGGTTTGGCAAATTTCCCTTTATCCTTCTTTTTCAGAAAGAAAAATTGAAAAAAGAAAAGCAAACTTCCTGGAAATTTGGAAATTGTAACTATACCCAGAGTCAAACGAAAATAACAGAATCACATACTAGTTAGGAATTAACGACATGGAACATGCATTCTACGATACCTGTGATGTAACTAAAGGTAATGCAGAGGATGCCTCAGTCAGAAATGCAATGAGAAAGGAAATTCTAGAAGCATGACTCAGGAAACAATAAACCCAAAGAGGAAGGTATTAAATACAGAACAGTAATTTATAAATAATTAGCTAAAAAATGTATCTGTAGTAAAATATACATAACACCATGAGAGAGAGAATTCTTGAAAGACCTAACTGTAATCACACTTGTCAACGTGACCAGAAGAAAAATGACACACAAATACATGTTAGGAATGAAAGGAATATAACTTAAATATGAATATTTCAAAAATTATAAAGGCATCTACGTAAAAATTAATGCCAACAAATTCTAAGGTCTAAATGAAAATGTACAATTTTCTAGGAAATAAAAACAACCTCAGAATTAGAACATGTGAATAGTCTCGTAAACACAGCAGAAAATGAAAAGGTTGTTCATAATCGACCCACTAAAAAGGTGCCAAGTAACTCGTACACTATTAAAACTAAGCGGGTTGTTAGGAAGAACAATGACGAGTTCAAGACAATGAACTTCTGACCAAGGGCCGGAGCACTGAGCACATCTCAGCCATCACTCTCCCTCGCTTTTTCACCCAAATTCCAACAGACCCTCACAATCCAGTCCAAGTCACCAAATACAGAATCCACCCAGCTCTACTTACCATTTACATACTGAATTGCATTCGTTTGGTTATTCCCATATAGCTACAAAAATAATTGCTATTTTTGAACACTAAATTTCAACAAGTTGCTCTACTCTGCCACACAACTACTTAAATGCATATGAACGGGGGAGGGGCCGTGCTTGCTCCCTGGGGCGGCCAGCCACCCTCAGTTCTACAGAAGTCTTCAGAAGACAGGGATTGGCGGCTTGTCTCCACTACTTGTAGCTACAGCGTCCACACCCAGCAGCCCCAGCCACGAGCAGCCCATGTTTACCGTGGGCCACGAGCCCAGTTTGCAGCTTCAGCTGTCAACAGGACGTATGGGTGACACTCGTCCCTTCACAGAGACTTCGTGCCTTGTGACGCAATCTGAGTACAACCACGGCTATTTGATGAAGTGCTCTCTTCTTAATAAGTGGGATTTCCAAGTTGGCTGTACCCTTCTGTCCTATATTTTAAAGTCTGGAGGACATATCCTCCGGAGATGGGAGCATCACAACACCATGCATTCTGCTGACGACGTGGAAGGCAGGCTTCTTCCCCTCTTCAGTCAAGCCTGGGAACGCAAGAGGACAGGGGAGAGACAAGTCCTTCTGCCCAAGGATAAACGTGCCTTCAGCACAGCAACAGAACTTCCTGGGCAGATGAGAGGTGTCCTCCATGACAGAAAAGCTAGTTTGGGCTTACTTGAGCTGCCCAGGGCAAAAGGCTTCACTCTACCAGAACACAAGAGCACCATTAAGAACCTACTGAGCCAGAGGCTGTGCAGACAGTTATCTCTAATCTTTACAACCTACAAAAGTTACGATTGTCTTTCTCTGGATGAAGAAGTGACCTTCCCAGGGTCGTGCTGGGGTCTCTGCCTCCAGAGACGACTCACCCCCTGTGGCAGGCTCTCGCATCTCAACCACTCCAGTGTGGGCCCCCAATCCATTGAAGCCCTTGCTGATTCTGGTTGATGAGACCCTGCTCTGTGACAGGCCTGCCTGTCCATTAAAGTGACATCTTCAGTGGGTCTGAGATGAGTTCTTCCAAGGTCTCCTCCACCCACCACCGCTGGCCTGCCCTGACCTTCTGTGGTCTCTGCCTCCATCCTCCAGACTCACAGCTCTGTTCTCAGTGAGACCTGTAACCCAGCCAACAAGAGCCGTCCTGGCTCCACAGAGGGCCCTTCTCAGAAGCTCCTCCAGAACCCACAGATCAAGCCTCATCACTTGATGGCTCCTGAGCATCAATGGAGTTTTAGTCCCAAATCTAGAGGAGCATTTTCTAGAGTGCTATCTACTGAGGATTACTCTCTGGAGAAGGCTTCAAATAAATAAAAGTAGGTTCCAAGGGCAAAAAGCTTTGGGAAATTCCTCCTGGGGATACACAAAACACCATCATTTCTGAGATGCTTTGCAGTAGAGAAACCTGCTCCAGATTTCTGATTTTACGAATTTTTAAACTAAAACTAAATCCATATCCTAAGCAGCTCTGACCCGTCCCTGGATTCACTTCTGCACAGCCAGGACTCCTGACGGCCCTTTTACTTGAAAGGGACACTATGCCCAAAGGAGGCAGGTGTGACAGCAGGGAAGTGAAGGGCTGTGTCACGCACGCAGTGAGTGTGGCACTCCCTCTGGCTCCACACCGAGAGCTGCCCGCGGTCTCAGTTCTTGGTTTCACTGATGAAATATTCATATACTGAAGCACAGTAAATCAAGCTCTGTCAAAGCCAGTGAGCGCAGGGTCTTTCCACAGACTATTCAAGAAATAACCAATACATGTGAAAGATAATCGCTTTTAATTTTCTAAGTTTTCACTTCTTGTGCAACATAATAAAGGCAGATTTATGTGACTCGATATGACATTTTACAAAAACATTTCCCTCCAACATCTGATCAGTAGTATATAAATATTTACAATGAAAAAATAGGCAAGGAAAAAGGAAATCTTCATTATCCAAGTCAATTTCTTTCCAATGCTTATCAGAATTTTGAAAATAAAATACTTCATTAACTTTCTAGTCCCCATATTTACATACTGCTTCAGGTGACAGATGTTTTTGTTCCACGTCACTCCTACTTTGTTCTACACTGTTCTAGAGCTATCTGAAAGAGTAAATTAAATATAAAAATGTAAACTTTGAAGGAAGAGAAAAGAACAATAAACATGTGTAAACGCACTAAGATATAAAGGTTCTTAATATTTTACAACACTAAAAACAAAATAAAATGCTCTATATATTTTCTTAGTAGGGACATTTTGTTTCAATTTAATTTGACTATATTAACAAAAAATTGGCTCTAAGGAGAATGTTAAAAAAATAGTGATGACATCACCACCTTAACTGATGGATATCCATCGCCCTAGTTTTTGCTAAAAGAAACTGATTTAAGTGGCAAATATAAATTATATCACGAGGGTTTAAGAAGCCTCAACAAAGTGTGGTATCTTTTAAATATGAAGACTTTTAGAAATAAATTTTAATAGTGCAAACCAGCCTATTTAACTTAGTGATATTACAAATAGATTCCACTCCGATGTATAAAAACAAGACTGATTCCGCCAGACGCCACGCCGAGGAAACACCCAAGCGTCTGTGGGCAGGAATGGTGGACGCCCGCAGCACGTTCGTCACCTTGAGAATTTGAATGTGAGTGTTTGTGTCTAAGAATGCGATTAATAGCAGGGGTGGCTCCTCAGAGGACACGAAAGCCCTCACGTGTGGGAGCTGCGCCGCCCTCTGGCACCCAGGGACACCCGGAGTCTTGGCTCTCTGGCTTTATAATGCTCATTGAAGTCCAACCTGAAGCTGAGGAACCGGAGACTTTCATCCGAGCTGGTGGTCAGCAGCACCAGAAACTGCTGCACGATCCCCTGAAAAGAGACACAGAGAGTGAAACGCTCGTTTCAGAAAGGAAGTGTCCACAAGCCCATCCCACATCCCACCATTCTCATCTCACTTGGGGCTGTTTTTCCTCCCAAATCCACAAGTCTCACATGAACCCCCACCATGGCAGGCGTCTGGGTGACAAGAACTGCTCTGGGTTCACAGAGACAACGGCAGCCCATGATCAGGAAATATGCCCATTCTACAATACAAATTAGCAAAGCATACATTTTATTTAAAAGAACTAGCCGACAGACTTTTCCTTTTGGCCCTGAGTTGTACAAGAATAAGCAAAACAGCCAAGCAGCTGATGATAACCCATTCTGTTCTTTTACTTTGTATAGAAAACTTCGTGTTAGTTGCCCCTTTCATCTTTCATGTGAGTTATGAGGGAACGTTAACCATAAAGCCCTGACGGGGAACAAAGTGAGACCAGGCTCTAAACCTCAGGGTCCAGGGCCTCTGCGGACGGGAGGCTGTGCTCGCCTTCCTGAAGGGCAGGCAGAGGGCGGCCCCAACACCTCTTTCTCAAGGGGGCTTTGTAAAGATGATGGGATACGATGGAAGTTTATGAAAACTCTGACAGGACAGAGTCACGGACTGCTTCTGTTCAGGGCTGAGTAAGGCACTCAGTAAGTACAATCTCCACGCCGCCAGGCTCCACGGCCTATCTCACGGCTGGCAGACACCTGTCTGTCCAAGGTAAGTGCTGCTCGTCTCTACAGCTCCAGTTTGGAGATGTCCTTATCTGCAGGGAGAAGTCACTGAAACACCACACATCCGTCTCCATCCTCCCCAACTGGAAGAGCAGTCACTTTCCCTCTCCCTGCTTCCGGGGCCATCCTGGAGAGCTGGCACGTGCGGAGACTCACGTATATTAGACACGGTAATTTTACATTTGAACAAGCACGCAGTGTGCCTGTGTGCGAATGTCACTTTGTCTTCCTGGGTAAAAGACGACTTAGGAGACAGCTCCTAAGGATGATATTGCTAAAAATATAGACAGTGACTTCCTGTTAAGCCATGAAACGGAAACAAGATGATGTGTGAAACCCTCTACAAGGAAATCTGAGGAGCATTTCGTTCCACGGTTTGGGGCTCTCAGTGAGCACTCATAAGCAGTAAATGACTTAACATCCTGCCGTTACAAGCACCAATACAAAGAGAACCAAAAAGGACTTTTTTGTTAAGAAAAAGAAATCTGAATGGTAATGATTTATAATGATTAACACTGTAATTTGAGTAAAACTGGGATTATACTGATTCAGATTACTTTTTAAAAAAATTTACTGGGGGTGCCCAGTGATGGTTAAGTTCATGTGCTCCACTTTGGTGGCCCAGGGTTCGCAGGTCTGGATCATGGGCACAGACCTGCACACCACTCATCAAGCCATGCTTTGGCAGCATCCCACATACAAAACAGAGGAAGACTGCCACAGATGTTAGCTCAGCAACAATCTTCCTCTAGAAAAAACAAGAGGATTGGCAATAGATGTTAGCTCAGGGCAATCTTCCTCACCAAAAAGAAAAGTCTTAACTCTATCAGGAAAATGTGTAACCGTCATTGTCTCTTTTAGAAATGAGCACACGGACACATGTTTAAGTTACATGTTACTCCTTTGCAGCTGTACAAGCATCTTAATTAACAGTATGGAAGTGACCATCAGGTATCCATCTTTAAGAAATGAACACACTACATACATGACATTGGGTCAAGAGGGCAGCTCATTAATCACAACATCTGGCCAATAACGATATTTTGGCATTGAGCATAAACTAGTCATTACCACCATTTATGAAACACGTTTTCAAGAAAAATGCACTAGTAGGCCAATGTCAGAGTAAGACCACTTGCAAAACAGGCAAATTTCGCCCTTAGTGATACTGAAGAAAAATACAAAATTAAAAAACATGACAACTGTGGGAAGCAAACTAGGTCCCATGGAACAGGGCGGTGGTGTTTCCTTTCATATTCTGAACCACAGGAATACATCAGCACACAAAACAGAAGGTTCAAAGGTCGGAGGTCAATGCTTGATTTGTCTTTCCAATAGTTATCAGTAACTGAATGGAAAAATTCTTCATAAAGTCTTTTCATCTATATTTCCACCACTAAAATCACACTGAGAAACAGATGCAATCAGAAACCAAGTCCACGAAATAGAAATAAGGAGCAGAGCACAGAGACCGTGTCAGTCGGCTTCTCTCAGCAACTTCAGGTCTGTCCACTCAGCTACCCCACCCTCCGAGCCCAGCTGCCCTGGCTCCTGGGCTCCTCTCACCACACCTTCCCGCACCTGTGATCCTGAGGCACCCTCAGCGGGCCCGCAGTACATGCCACACCTCGGACTCACAAAGAAGGCTGAGCCGTCTTCCCAGAGCTCCTACCCACGGCCAAACACTAGCACCATCCCAGGCCGGGGTTCCAGTCCCGGCCGCACCAGAGAGCAGGCAGCCCAGAAGCTCCGGGAAGGGTCCCGGCCAAGGTGGGCCGCTCTGTGGCTGCTACTCACACGTGCACAGAAAGTGCTGGCTGATGGAAATGACTCCTTCCAAATCATTTTGACGGCACCTGTCAATTACAGACAACAAGCAAGGGGAGGAGTCGGACAGCGGTTTTCTTCCCCTAACACACACCTGGTAGAAGTGTGTCAATATTCGCAGCTGTGAACACATTTTTGGTATAGATTCTTGAAATTCGTGAATCCTCTGGTTCTCCTCCTCCTCCTCTGCTGCTGTCACTCCCCACTGGCCCTGAAGAATCAGAAGGACCAAATTACATGAAAATCTGGATGGAGAGGCTGTCAGAGGGGGACTGAGATGGAATGTTAGGAGGGGGGATGCATGCTTTGTATGCCCCTGGACTGCTAAAACACTTGCGACCATTTTCTATGCCAAAGTGTTCTCCAGCTTACATTTTTCAATTAATAATGTACCTTGGAAATATTTTATATTAGTACATATGAGTACACATAGAACTCCCTGTTTTTAATAACCATGGTATTACACTGTGTAACATGGAACAATTTAGATAATTCGTCACAAGCTCACCAGTCTTTTGCTGTTACAAACAATGCTGTAATAAATAACCCTGTATTTTTCTGTCATCCTGTACACATTTTTAATACAGACAGCATACATAAAAGTGGAACCAGGCGGTTGAAGGTAGTGGCACCCCTTAAACCTCACAGTCACTCTACTTCAGTGCGAATGCCTCCTGCTATCTCCCCCAAGCATGACGTATTTTTTGTAGTGGAGAAATATCCATCTACGTCTACTCTTGTTCTCAGTCAGTGGCGAATTTCACTAAATGCCTTTTCAGCCAGCATATATAGGAATTATCATAAGATTCTTTCCCTTTTATCAGTTAACATACTAGATTACATTAATAGATTTCCTCCCCCTTTGTATTCCTGAAATAAACCCCAGCACTGGTCCATTATTCTTTAAATATTCTGTTAAATATTTTCCACTGACATTCTACGTAAGACTTTTTCTCTCAATCTCTATAACCCAGAGCTGGTCTTTCTTCTTGCATTTTGGTGTCACCTTCACAAGCAGAATTTGGGAGCTTTCCTCTTCTACGACTTGGGACAGTCACTGAGCACTCAAGCTCATCACTGCTGGAAGGTTGGCGGGGTTTCTCGGTACTGTCAACCCGGCCCCTTTCAGGCGGCAGACTACGCAACAACTTTACTTCTGGTTTGGTAGCTGTTCTGTTCAGAATCTGTTTTCTCTTCGGGGGTCCATTTTGGAAATGTATAGAAAATCATTTCCCTCAAGTATGTAGGTTTATTTGCATAAAACTGAGCAAAATCATATATGGTTTTTTCCTCACTTATTCTGTACGTTTGTGCTTTCTCCTCCCGTTATCTCTTGGGCTAGTTAATAGCTTATTTCCCCACCATCGCTTGTACCCCAAAAGAAGCTGGTCTTGGATCTTACTAGCCCCTTTGTTCTGTCTTCCGCTTCACTAACTTCCGCTCTTGTCACCACCAGATATCGCCTCCGGCCCCTCAGGGGCATTTCACGGTTGCCTTCCTAGCGTCAAGTGGGGCGTCTAGTTTACTTACTTTCTCTCTAGTGTATTAACATAAGCACTGAGGAGGATGGAGTTTCATCATCACGTCCTAGTCATTTCTGTGCGTCTGAGCTCTTGTGGTCTGAGAGAAACTGAATTATACTTCTAACAGTGACGTGTTTTGATCCACTTTTCCTGTAGTTCCTACTCTTCATTTTATGACTATTGATACTAGACTGTTTCGGTCCTCATGGTTTGCACCTGTCATTGTCACGAGGCACCCTCACCTGGTTTACTGCTTTTTGCCCTATCTGTAGCCTGCTTTCCTTTGAAGAATTTCACCTCCTTAGTGTGCCTTGTCCACTCTTTTCTCTTCACACTTTCTACATCACCCTGTTCCAAGTGTCTCTTCTACACCAGAACTTCGCAACCGGCACGTCTTCCCAGGCAACGAGCCAGCCTCCACCACAGGTAATCCAACCCACTTACCAAGGGGACCAACCAAACGGTGTCTCTCACTGAGAGTCCTCTTCTTTCAGCAGGTGGGTTCAGCTCAGTTACCTTTATTGATAAGACAGTATGTCTGGTCTTGGTTCTGTCATATATATATGAAATGTTTTCTGATTTACTTGAGGATGGTAATCTTTCACTACATAGTCTTTGTTTCTTCTGATAATCTGGAAGATTTATATTTTTGTTCTAGTGCATAACTTTATAACTACAGCTTCACAAAACTTACCATTTTCATCATTTTTTACTTTAGATGGCATTGACAGCCTAATCAGAGCAATAATGATTAGTGTCCTCCTTCTTTTTTGCTCCCTGACATTAAAAGACATTATTTTCATGTTTATATCTTTTAATATACTTATACCTGTTTTATTTGCTTTATGAGCTTTAAAAAACATTTTTTGATGTTGGGTTTTTAAAGTTGATGAAATTACAAAATTTATATTACTTCCTATCTCTTCTTCTCCTACCAAACTTTTATTTTTTAAACAAATTTTTTAAATATACTACTTTACTGTAGTATAATACATACAAAGAAGTACCAGAATCCTAAGTGGACAAGCATGAAAAACTGTCACGAGATGAACAGACCAGGCACCACCATCTAGACGAAGAGACAAGACGTTACCAGGGCCCCAGAAGAACATCTCGGGCCCTTCCTGTCACAACCACCTTCTCCTCTCAGAGGTACCCAGCTACAAGGTATGATGTCTGCAGTGTCTAAGAATGCATTCCTGTTGAGTATGTACGTAGGAGTGGACAGGCTGGGTCAGAGTATCGTCAAATTCAGCTTTAGTCAACTGCCAGCCAGCACTCCCAAGCGGCCATTAACAGCTTCTCCTCTACCAGCAGGGTATAGCAGTTCTCAATTTTTCACATCCTCATCAACATTTACTGTTGTCCACTTCAAAATTTTACTCATTCTCTTGGGGATGTAATGCATATCACTGGGGGTTTTTAACCTTCATTTACCTGAGGACTACTGAGGGTGAGTACCTTTTCATAAATTTGAGGCCTATTTTGAAAGGAGTTATCTTATCGATTCCTGAGAGCTCTTTATACATTCTGGTCACTTACCAGCTGTCACTTACGTGTACATAAATATCTTCTCCCATGCTATAGGCTTGCTTTTTCATGTTCTTAAGGGTGTCTTTGATAAACAGACGTTACTAATTGTAGGAGAATGATTCATTTTTAACTTATTTTATAGTTATTCTTAAGTTGCCTTCTACAAGCTCCAGCATTTTACCTTCATGTTCAGATTTACAACCACCTCACGGTGGCTGTGTGTGTGTGTGTGTGTGTGTATGGGGTGGGTGGTAGGGTCAAGACACAGTTACCTAACCCCGCTGACTGATGCTCTATTCCCCACTGTCCTCAGGGCCACCTCGATGAAGAATTGATGACTCTAACCGTGTGGGGCTGTTTCTTGGACCTTATTCTGCTCCATTGGCTTGTCCCCCGTGAGCCAGCACTGTTAATTACTGTAATTATATTGGAAGTCTTGAGCGTATATGTATACTCAATTATAAATGCATATCCTCTAATTCTGTTCCTGTTCAATATTCTCTTCACTATGCTAGGCCTTATGTATTTCCACATAGATTTTAGAATTAGTTTATCATTTTCTATCCCCCCAAAAACACAAACTGTTGGAATTAGAAGTGGGATCCATGAACACCATATATTCCTCTATTTATTTAGGGGTCCTTTAACATCTCTCGGGGAGGCAGTAGTCAGCAAATTTTTTTTTGTAAAGGACCAGAAAGCAAGTATTTTAGGGTCTGGGAGCCCTAAGGTCTCTGCCACATCACTCAGCTCCACCGCTGCAGCACAGAGCCAGCACAGACAGGGGAACGAGCAGGCCCGGCTGTCCCAGCGACACTGTCTACAGAGACCGACAGGCGGCAAATCTGGTCTGCAAACCTCAGGCTGCCAGGCCCTGTTTTACAGTTTTCTGTATAGAGGTCTTGCATATGTTTTATTACATTTTAATCTTCTTTTAATGGCATTTCTCTTAAAACTTCATTATGTTTGTTGCTGATAGGAAGAAATATAATTGATTTTTGCATAGTGACCTTGTTTTCTGCTACCTTCATAAATTCACTTCTTAATTCTGGTAATTTACCTAAAGATTATTTTAGATTTTCTATGTCAACAATCATGAATTTTGCCAAAAAAAAAAAAAAGGGAAAAAAGACAGCTTTCTTTCTTTCTCTCACTTTGTATTTCTTTTTCTTGGTTTACAACACTGGCTGGCCCGCAGGGCAACACTGAATAAAGTGGGGACAGCATCTCGCCCCACAATCCATCCACACCACTAAGTATGATGCTTCATTGTAGATATCTCAGACAAGACTTACCAGATTTTCCTTGGAATTAAATTACTTTATCTATTGAGACGATCACAAAATCTTTCTCCTTCAGTCTATAACTGTGGTAAATTGTAACATTTCTACTAGAATGACAGAAGAGCTCTGCACTCTTGGAACAACCTGGAACTCATTGGTAAAGGCCCATCCTTCAATATATCACAGCTTGGCGATATTCTCCTGGGTTTTACACCCACGTTCACGACAGAGACTCGTACAGAGTGAAGAGCAACAAAAGCCAGACTTGTCTAAATGCTTTGTTTTGTAGATTTGACTTTGGAAACAAGTAGCTATTTTACATAATTAAATCCAACTTTGTTTTATAACTAAAAGCTATCCCTAAAAATTAAAAGCAAAAATGAGATCAATTCACCTGTGTACTGAGTTGGCATGACCTCATGGGAGTAACCATTCCCAGGGGCATTACGACGTAGAATCTCATGCACACACCTAGTGGGACACACTGCTCACTAACCACACTGTTGCTATACTGTTGGGGGCAGTACCACGACTCTCGCTCTAAGACAGGTGTGTGTACAGGTGTGTGTGAGGGTAAGTGTAGTCAGATAACAATGGAGTAAGCGGTTAGAAACAAAGATTTCCAATGTCTAACATATTAAAAGAAAAAAAGAAAAGCCCTTTGATCCTAAATTTGCATTGGAAGTATCATCATAAATGTAGGAGTTCTGAAGAGAAAAGTGGAAAGCAAGCAGAGGACTGGAGGAGGAAGAGGACCCTTAGGAACCCTCTGCCCAACAGCAGCACGAGAGAAAGAAAGGACAAAATGCTGACAGTGAAGCAGGCAGGGCTGACTGCAGCACAGCATCCTCGCAGGAGGGTTCTGAAACCTTTCTCTGCGTCTTCTGCATAATCTCTTTAAAACTTCAGTGGACCTTAGGTCTAAATGACCGCTTCATAAATTATTTTGCCTACTGAATTTAAATGACTTCTCAGATACAGTTTCAGCTTTTAGATCTCCTACCGTAGCCCTAAGCATATCTGAATAAAATACACTGAATAAACCTGACTTATTATGTAGATCTGTTCCACTCCAGCACGGACGGTTAACAGTCTGGAGAGGGAACCATCAACTCCCACACAGCTGGCTGCCATGCTATTCTCAGAGTGTGACAATTCTAAGGACTAGTTTTTGCAGATTTCCTCCAGAAGGGCAGATTCTCTGGGGCATGTGGGCAGTTTTAAAAATCACAGCAGTGGTTGGCACTTATTGAATACTTACTAAACGCTAAATAACTGGCATACCTCACCACACGTAAGTAACTCACTCCCATTTTACAAATCAGGACACTACATCTTAGAGAAGTCAAGTCACCTAGAGACACAAAGCCACTGAGTAACAGTCGGGGTCGAATCTTCAGTCTGCCCGGTACCAAGGCGTGCCAGGGCATGGGCCAGGAGTCTCTGCGTCACAAACTCCGACATGTCAGAATCAGAAGCAACTGCTCTTGGCAATACAAACGGAGTAAGTGTTATACCTATTTCCAAAATCTCCTGAAGAAACAACTTGTGCTCTAACTGGTTGTGAATTTTCCAACCTAAATATGACCCTCTAACACAAATTTTAAGGGAATACTCAAAAAGAAAACTAAACAAACTATATTAACTGAAAAATCTGTCACCACCCCAGGAATAAGCAACTTGAAAAAGTAAAAGATTAAAAAGATTATATCAAATACGAGAAATCCCATAAAACACCAAACTTGCTCAATAAATCTTTGTAATTCGAGGTCATGGAAGACATGAAATACTTTGGCAGGGTCACTGAAAACGGCCACAGGTGCGGAAATTTGGTTCCCATGTGTATATGTGCACCCCTCAGCTTCAGATAGCAGAGTGAGGCAGTGTCAGGCTGCCACGCGGCAGAGACACCAACACAGACACCTCAACATTTACTAATGAAACGTGGCACGGGATCTGTGATTCTCGTGAACACTGGTGTCTTTGTTTTGTAAAACATGATGATGATAGTGATGGTGACCACTCCGTCTAAAAGTCAGTACCTCCCCAGGGCTCCAGATGTAGATGGGAACACAGCCTCAGCTTTGTGAATATTTCCGCAGCAAAGCTACTTGCTACATTTGTGATTACTGTGGCAGTAAGTTTATTATTTAAATTAATAAATCCACCGGTATAAAAACCACACCTCAGTTTCACGCTGTCTCTTTTTCTCTTCAAACTGTGACCGTCTCTGCAGTTCTTCTAGGGCAGCTCTGTAGATCGCATCTTGAGCGTTCTGAAGTTCAATAATTTGATCAAACACGGCTCTAAGCTGGTTTAAAAGTGCCTAAAGAGAAAGGAAATGTTTTTCTTTTTATCAACAGACTTCATTATGCTCATTACTACGTTTTTCAAATAGAATATTGATAATTCGTAAAAAGATACTACAAAACAAGATATCAACTCACATTGTCAGTGCTCACTCGGCGTTCACTGACTCATTATCAGCCCCTCACCGAGCACCACCAGGCAGCAGGCACTGCACCAGGCCCTGGGAGAGCAGGGAGCTGTGCCGCAAGAGCAACAGCAACAAGCCCTCCACACACATCACCACCAGAGCTCACACCAACCTCACAAACCCCAAGCGCTGGCCCACATGCCAAAGCTAGCAGTGAGCAGCTGGGTCAGGGGGGAGTTATTCCAAGGATTAGAAAGGAAAGGAAAGCACCTCAATTTTTTTTCTTTTGGTGACACAAACCAAAATCAGACATGGAGAATATGAGAAAGGAAATTCTTAATAAAATATTTTTAAAAATCCAGCAAGGTTTTAAAAAAACGGGGTATCATATTTTATACCAGGAATGAAAGGATGGTTTAACACTGGGAGAAAAACTCTACATGTTTTGAAAACATATCAACGTCACAGTACATATTTCTAGTTCATTTCTTATGAGTGTTGCAGAGTATTCTTCAGTATAAATCTACCATATTTTAGTTATTTATTCTCTTAGTGTGGCACAGAAATAAGAAGGAAACAGAATGATATCTACAGCAGAAAATCATTTATGTCAACATAAAATATATCCATTCAAAATACCATATATATACCTACGGTGGGACAGCAAACACACTGACACTGGTGCCAGCCGTGGGGAAGCGGCGGGGAACTGCGGAGTTGGTGAAGAGGTTACCGTTAAACCCAACAACCACCAGAGGACTTCTGTGGGCATGGTCAGCAGTGTGCCACAACTGAAGAGGAGGATTAACTCCATCCTCTGCCATCTTAGATTTTTTAAAAGTCCGTTAACAATTTTGGGGGGAAAAAAGATAATTTCAATAGTTCAAGAAAAAAATCATGTTAAAATGTAACACCCACTCACAATTTATATAAAACATGTAAACTAGTACTAGTTTCGAGTACAAACTAGTATTCGAAGGGACCTACTCAATTTGAGAAAGGTCCTATCAGATGTCTTGGCAAACACCACAGTTAATGGCAAAATAATAAAACAGATCCTTAATCTCGGGAATAAGGTGAGGAGTCTCACCTGAGCTCCCAGTCAACTTAGCTAACACCCTAACGCAAGAAAAAGCAGAAGGCATACCCTGTGGAAAGAAAGAAACAAAACCGTTTTTCCTTGTAAAAAATAGGATCTAGGGGCTGGCCTGGTGGCACAGTGGTTAAGTTCGTGCACTCCACTTCGGCGGCCTGGGGTTTGCCAGTTCAGATTCCAGGTGTGGACCTATGCACCGCTTGTCAAGCCATGCTGTGCCAGGTGTCCCACATATACATAAAGTAGAGGCAGATGGGCATGGATGTTAGCTCAGGGCCAGTCTTCCTCAACAAAAACAAGGATTGGCAGCAGATGTTAGCTCAGGGCTAATCTTCCTCAAAAAAAAAAAAAAAAGGATAAGCAGATCTAGAAAATTTTGGAATAAAAAATGGATAAAAGATCAAAATAAAGAAATTAATAGCACTCCTATAGACCAGCCAAATTCCACAAAGGTAGTAATAATCTAACAAAAGATGTGTAAGATGTTTACGGGAGAAAAATGATATAACTTTATTGAGCAACATAAAAGAAACCTAGATAATTGGAGAGGCTCCAGTTCACAGATGGGAAGACACAACCAAGCTGATTTGGGGAGAAACAGAGACCTTGGCCTAACTCCGCTGTTGAAGACAACTGAAGAGCAGTGAAGACACCTGCGCCATTCCCATCCCCATCACTGAGGGCGACCTTGTCTGCTAAAACACTCCCCCTTTCTGAAGGGGCGCAATATGGGAGTTCAGATCTGGTTCACCTCGTTGTGGCAGCACCATTAGCAGTTGAGCTAACATCTGACTCTTCAGGGAAACAAAACTCACTAGTATTTGCTAAATGGCTCCCGGAATAACCTAACTCAAGAGAACGCAGATATCACAAAATGAACAATTCACATTTTCCTTCATTTACTACAACGCACTGTGGGAAAGGATGACGCACGCACACTGATTTGCCGATAGAAGCAGCCGCGCAGGTAAAGCTGCTCCTCTGGTTACCACGGAGACCCTGGGATTCATACAGTAAACACTGTGCTCATCCTGAAAGTGGTTTGTTCTCTTGGAGGGGTCTTATTTTTATGACAAAAAAGTAAAGCAAAAGATGGAGATGGTCTAATTTTTTGTTTTTAATAAAGATTTATTTCCTCTAATTTGCTTTTTATTGTGGTCAAATAAAAAGTTATTATTTTTGGAACAATTAATCAATCTATGTGGTGATTTTCTGCTGCTTACTTCAAGGTAAGGGTGCTATGGGCCCCTTTTAGCAATCTGTTCATACAGGACAAGTACAAAAGTGCATTCTGTGGTGATGTCAGTTTGCAACAGTTCACTGCAATTTGAGATTTTTCTCAACAACGCACAAACACAAATTACAAAAATGTACACACAACGTACAACTGTCATGCCACAACCTCCACCTTCAAAATTATGTGTATCAAACAGCCTTGTTTTTCTTACTAAGTGGTATAATAAAAATATACAATTCATGCCAAGAACAGACTGTTTTAATCTGTTATATATATTGAGTTTCTTAAAAAACAAAAACATCTCTAGTGGTCATTTTAAACAAACCATCAAATTAAAAGTAAAACCATCAGCCAAGGGACCATTTCAGAAATGATTAGAAAGCCTTTAGCATAATGACTCCCTCAGTGAAGTCAGTAGAGACAAACTCACGTAAACATTCCATTATCACATGAAAACCTTGCTATAGGCAAAAATATTTTCTCCTTGGACTCTGTTCATATCGGTGGAAATCTTCCAGAGGCAAGAAGAATGACTATTTAACTCGTTTCATACAGAATTTTCATCTATCTAAGTGGGTTAAAACTCCTATGTTATCAACTGAGTTCTCCTTATTTGCCACAATTAATCCGATTTCAGTGTGGGTATAACCTCAGTAGTTCACACATTTTCCGAAAAGCACTAAATCTCTCATAAATCTCTCTGTCAAGCATATACACAAGACAGTGACTTTTAATTGTTTAAAAACAGTAGCAACTAACACTTAGGTACCAGGCACTATGGTAAACAGTTTATGTGAATTACATAATTTAATTCTCACAAATCTACAGAGAGGAGTATCATGCCCTTTTAAAACACAAGAACACTGGGGCACAAGCTGTGAAGTTGAACTGAGACCTGGGTCCATCTGCCTGCAGAGTCCCTGTACTGTCTGACTAGGACACTCAGCACACACATGGCAGCAAAGGCCTCGAGTCCAGGAACAATGTCCTAGCTGTTACAACCTCGACTCATCCGAGAGTGTATCAGGACACTCATCTACAACTACTGAACAATAAATGTGTCACTGACAGACAATGCACAAACTTTCTGTGATCTCAGCCTGATAAGGATGAGGTTAAGTAATAGCAATAGAGGCTAAAAGGCTTGAGGTGTGCATTTCTTAAATTACTAATTACACTCAAAGTATTTTAAATTACTCTTGTGCCATTATTTCAAATTATTTATAAAAATATTCTATATAGAAGCATCTTTGATCTGAGCGATTTTTTAACACACATGACCGCTAATTCTTTAATAATGAAATTTGGCATATCAAAATATCTGTTTTCCTAGCCATGGCTGACTAACCAGATATACTAAAAATGCAGACAAAATTAAAGCCCTTTCAAGCGGTGCATTTCCCACAGAAGGACCCTTGAAGAGAGTGGAGGTTTAGTCCAAAGCAGCCCTCTGCAAGCCTAAAACTTCTCTGAAGTTGCACATTTAATGTCAAAAATGTACTTGAAATTTTGCCTCCTACTTCACAATATACTTGTTTCAAGTGAAAGCAGTGTGTTCCTTGTTTCCCTAGATCTTTGAATAAATCAAAACTCCAGGAAGACTTGCAACATGGAACATGCAACTTTGACAACAGGGCTTAAAGGAAAGAAGTGTGGGCCCAGGAAGCTTCAGGTTCACCTGCACAGACACCGACGTTCTAACCCTCGCAGCTGGTGCCGTCTTCATGAAGACGGGACGGAGAGCAGAGCAGGCAGTCATCCCCGGGAGGAAACGCACATGCAGCCTGGAGGCTGCGTTCTCCTGCACCTCCGGACAGGCCCCCACCGCTCGTTCTGTCCTTACAGCACTTTGTTTGGTTCACTGTGCTCAGATGTTACCCCTCCGTAACTCAAAACCATCACTCAGGATTAACTCTTCTCTTTTCAACAACCACAAGAAGACACTATTATTACATCTAGGAAATAAACGAGTGTTCTCATACCCTTTACCATTTTTATACCCATTTTAGAGCATGTTCTTGTTTCAGCACTATTGTTCCAATTCTGTTCAGAATCAGTGTTCCTGGAAGATCAAATAACAAATAAACTTGTCTCAACAAATGTGGGCATCAGGCAATTTCTAAGATGCCCCATTTGACAGGAATCCAAGGAAAGAAGACTATTACTGTTGCTTCTTGTTTCTAAACAACACGTCAGTCTTACCCTGGAGTCGGTGTCCAGCAGACACCGGGAGATGATGGTGTCCAGGAACACCTCATGTGCTGCAATGATATGGTCCAAGTCTTGGGCCTGCTGCACTTTGTTCCAAAGTTCATCCCAGGAACATTCTAGCACCTGAGAAACAATAACGTGAAACTTAGGGATAAAGTCACGTTCTTCCCAGTACAGGGTCTTCTACAAAATGCACCACACAAAAGCAGAAGGCATGACTTATTTAAACTAAAATCAATAGATGATGGGAAGATACCTCAAATGTAATGTAATACTGCATCTGATGAATGAAATGGACCATCTCAGACGCCAGAATGTGGCAGTGATGCAGCACCCCAGAGAACTCTGCAAGAGAGCCAGAGAACTGATGTTAGACACCACTGGGAGCACACGTAAAACCAACACAATGCTCTCCCTCCCATGTATCTGCAGTCTACCTTTAAAAAACAGAATCACTAGCTTTAACTCTTGACCCTTTAAAACAGCAAACAACCTTTCCATAATCAATTCCTGTGCCATTCAAGCTACACAAAGATTTAGCTATCTACTCAAGCAGTATTATATTATTTTACAAAATATAAGGACCTAATAAGAAATGGCAAAAAATGAAATGACTGTATTTGAAAATTAAATAGAAAAACTTTACTTTATAATAATGCAATCTCTTGAATAAACATAAGCTCAATTTTACGGCTTCTTTACAATTAGTCTGGCTACTGTGCATGAAACATTTACTATTCCCTAGCTATCTGGAGACAAAACTGACATTTCCTTAAGGACCCAAATGTGACCTTGTCACCTAGGAGAAACATGAATCTTGGAGGGAGGGGAGCCTGAGCTCAGCCTCAGCCTCTCTCCTTTACGAGATTAGAAAGCCATCAACAGGCTTGAAGTTCACCATGGAGCAGCCGTGCTCTGCTCACACTTCTACTTTTTCACTCAGAGACTCCACCAGAGTATTACGGGACACGACTGCACCTGAGTGATGGTCAGACATGAGCCACTGGAGGAGTGACTACAGGGAGACCTTTAACGTGGGTCAGACGACATGCTGGTTACTGCTCCAAATGCCTTTAATTACCTACCTAGGTAAATAATTTGTTGCTGCATGCATTTATTCGAGAAAATGTTTCTGTCCCTTCTTAAGAGAGTAATGAGGAAGTGAGATATATAAACAGATATGAAAAAAATAATAGTGGTAATACATAATTTTTAAACACTCCCTTCTTCAAGTTAAGGATTAAAGTGACACAGTGGGGATTTTGCTGTTTTTAACACGTTCCGGTTGGCCAGGGAAAACAGCACGGCCACCTCAGCAGCTCAGCACATGCTCCAAAATCCACCTGATGCCTTCCACATGTCAGGCATCTGTAATCCATGAATATGGTAAGTATTCATCCAAAGAACAGGTTATACACTTTACATTTGATTTCTAAGCTTAGAATGAAGAATGTACTCTTCCCTGTTAAAACTATCAAAGAGGGCTAAGAAATCTAACCTAATACTCATAGCCTGTTGAACTAAAATTACTTTCCAATGTAGAAAGAGTATAATAAAACGCTGTTTTAACTGATACCCATCGGTGTTATGGTTTAAGGAAGCTTCTCTATTTGGGTTTGGCCAGGGCTGGAGCAGCAGTCTTCCCTGGAGAACAGGCTGCGTATTCTGAAAACAATCAACATGCATGCAGGCACGCACAACACACTGCTCTCAGGGTCCTTCCCGGGTGTGACTTGAGCTCTTTGTAGTGTGGCAATCCAAGTTATATGAAATAGTCTACATACCATTTGTGGAGGGTTCATTTTTTTTTAATGTTCTCAATTTTATCATAGAATTCTGGTGGACTTTTTCATCGAGAAACAAACTGAGTAATGTCTTTACAAATGACACATAATGATACTCAGGTCTCACTGTGACATCCACTGTCTCTAGCACACTGAGTGTTTCCAAAAATGCACTGCTTTATACATATTCACAGAGGCGTCGTTGGCTGACTGGCCAGCCTGTGGGACAACTACAGTTTACACCTAGCCACCCTGACATTTCCCTACCAGAGAAAGTCCGGCATCACTGACAAACCTGTAGCTTTCATCACACACTCCTGAGAGACGACTTAGCAAACAAGTGGACTACTCTCAGCACTCTCTCTGGAGGACCATTTATTGATTGACTGATTGATTGACTGTTATGGTGGTAATGGTGGTAATTTATTTGTCCTTACAATCTCTCTGTTCCGTGCTATAGAGACTTCTGACCTGGACTTTCCTTTTTATTAAATTTTTTTTATTGTGGTCATAACAGCTTATAACACAGTGAGATTTCAGTTGTACACTATTATTTGTCATACACCATATACATACGCCCCTTCACCCCTAGTGCCTACCCTACACCTCCCTTCCCCTGGTAACCAACAATTTATTCTCTTGGTCTGTAAGTTTGTTTATATTCCACATATAAGTGAAATCATATGGTGTTTGTCTTTCTCTGTCTGGCTTATTTCGCTTAACATGATGCCCTCAAGCTTCATCCATGTGGTTGCAAATGGGATCACTTTGTCTTTTTTTATGGCTGAGTAGTATTCCATTGTATATATATATATACACCGCCCCTTCTTTATCCAGTCATGAGTCGATGGGCACTTAGGTTGCTTCCACGTCTTGGCTATTGTGAACAATGCTGTGCTGAACACAGGGGTGCATAAGCCTCTTTGAATTGTTGATTTCCAGTTCTTTGGGTAAATACCCAGTAGTGAGATAGCTGGGTGATATGGTATTTCTATTTTTAGTTTTTTGAGAACTCTCCATACTGTTTTTCATAGTGGCTGCACCAGTTTGCATTCCCACCAGCGGTGGATGAGGGTTTCCTTTTCTCCACAACCTCTCCAACATTTGTTGTTATTTGTCTTGGTGACTATAGCCATTCTAATGGGTATAAGATGGTATCTAAGTGTAGTTTTGATTTGCATTTCTCTGATGATTAGTGATATTGAGCATCTTTTCATGTGCCTATTGGCCACCTGTATGTCTGCTGTGGAAAAATGTCTGTTCGTGTGGAGGACTCTATATTTATTAGAAAAGCATAGGGGCCGGCTCCATGGCCAAGTGGTTGGGTTCGCGCGCTCCGCTGCGGCGGCCCAGGGTTCGGATCCTGGGCGCGGACAAGGCACCGCTCATCCGGCCGCGTTGAGGCGGCGTCCCACATCCCACAACTGGAAGGACATGTAACTAGGATATACAACTGTCTCCAGGGGGGTTTGGGGAGATAAAGCAGAAGAAAAAAAAAAGATTGGCAACAGTTGTTAGCCCAGGTGCCAATCTTTAAAAAAAAAAAAAAAACCAAGAAAGAAAGAAACAAAAAGTTTCTTGGAGGGTACATCCAGAAGAGAGAGAATCTAAGAGAGGAATCCCTGAAAAAAAAAAAGAAAAGCATACAAACTTTTCTGTGGCTGCTCTCCATCATCTAGCTCCAAGTCAACTTTCTACACACAATGGAAGAAACTCAATTCCACGAAAACTCAAGTTTTTGTGGCTCTTTTTAGCCTGCATTTCTTGGGTCTCCCTAGAGTTTCCCACTGGAGTTACACTGACAGCCAGCCCACAGCACCTGGAGAACAGATGGATTAATCTACTAGCACGTCATGCATTTTTGCTAACATTTTTACGTTTCATTTTTGAACTCCTTCATAATCCAGGAATTTTTCTCTAGCATTAAGACAGCCTGAAAATAGATGTATAGTGACCGAATCATTAACTCTATGTTATATTCTCTGATTTACCTGAGCACACAATTTCTCCACTACTGATTAATCTTGTGGATTCTTTAATGTCACCCACATTTGGAAAAGAAAATGCAACTGAATGACACAAAACAAAAACATCTGCAAAAAAATCATCCTGCAATGTTGGCGTCAACCTAAAATTCACAGCATTCAACCTCAGCTAGTCCTCCACGCTGCCTGCAAACCCTTTATTTTCTCTCCTTTACTCTCCAACAGCTGTTTTCAGCCATCACCATCCTTGAATCCTTGATCCTTGCCTTCTCTCCATTCTCTCCCCTCCCTCCTCCACCACGAAGGAGGGCAACCATCAGCTGGCGCCTCTCCACCTTCTGGCCACCAAGCCCACACATGCATCACCAGCACAGCTTTAAGGCTAACAGCCCCCCACTTTCAGGCTCGGAATGTCCTCTTCCTCTCTCACTTTCCCTCCAGGCTTGTCAGCCTCTCCTTCCTTCTTCCCATCAGCATTTAAACGACTCTTTAAACAAACAAGCTCTGCGGCCACCCCTGCTTCTTCTGTGCTGAGTGGCTGTCGCCCATGGTACCCGTTGCCTTCTCACTGCAGTCAGCGCCACAGACCTGCCCTAGCCAAGTCGCCCTCACCTGACTGTTAGGAACAGTGTTCAGTCTTCACCTTACTGATTTTCTGCAGCTGTGTCATATTCGATCATTCCCTCCTCCCTGAAATATTTCTTCCCTTGGCTTCAGAGAAACTACCTTCTCCCAGTGCTCTGCCCACCTTTCTGGTTGTTCCTCCTCATCTGCTTTAGGAGGTTGTTCCACTTCCCTTTGCTCCAAGACCTTTTCTCTTCTCCCTCTATTTCTAGGCAAACCTCATCGATGCCACAGCTTCAAATATCACCTAAGCTAACGACGTCTAAGCCTTATCTCTAGTTCAGATCTGTCTTGGCCTTCAGATCAAGTGGACCAGATGCATTGCATATTTCCTTAAAAACATCTCAAATCAATGTGTCTGAAACGGAAGCATGACCCCTAAACGTGCTCCTCCTCCACTGCTCCCCGGCCTGGTGAACGACACCACCATCCACCAGCTCCTCAAGTCAGAGACCCAGGCTTCCACCCTAACTCCATTCCTCCTCATCTACGCATACTCAATCACCAGTCCTGCTCCCAGGTGTCTCAAATCCACCCTCTCCCCAGCCTCACGGCTGCTGTGCTCACCAAGGCCAATGGCATCCCTCACACAAGATTACAACTGACAGTCTCTATTCTCCAATCTCACCCCTCAGATCCATTTTGCTCAATGATGCCAGAGGGGCTTTCAGAAACACAATACTCAGCATATCACTCCTCTCCCACTGCCATGTAGTCAAACTGACCCACACAAAACCTCAAGACCTGGTCCCTGCTTCGCTTTCTAGCCTCATCCGCTCACCCTATTTCCAAATATGCTATTCTGAGAAGACCCCTGCCCCACCCCCTACTCCCACACTCTTCCCTTGATCAACATGCTCATCTCTAGATGCCAACCTGGATGTCACTGCCTCTGGGAAGCCTTCTTTGTCCTACCCACGTCTGTCAGGTGTCTCCTTCTCATGTTCCTACAGCACCTGGTCTTTCTCATATCAAACAGCTTATCACGGTGTATTTTAAGTTCTTGTTAAAATGTCTATCTTGCCCTAATAGGCAACGAACTTCTTGATGACAGGGACCTTGTCCGTCATATCCATCACTGGATACCAAGAACAGGCAGCACAAAGTAGGCCCTTAATAATTATTTATTGAACGAGTGATCTCAATCCTCAAAATGAAAGTAGATAGTCTGCACTCACCTATGCCTTAACTAGTTAAATTCACGTCCTTTTCAAAATGTTCCCATGACCAAGGCAAATTTAGCAACAATGTTAAGATACATGTTCTTTTCTTTTATAGTCTTAAAGCAATACCAAATAACATATTTTCTCTCTAGAACAATCATCTTTTCTTGTGCCTAAAATGAGGATAGAGGACCGTGTCTTTAATGGCATTCTTGTAAAATAAAGCCTCTGAGAGTGAAGAGACCTACGGCTGCTGCTATGAGGACACTGACTGTTGACAGGCGCCTGACAGAATAATCCACATAATGAATGTGAATCCCTCTAACACCACAAGTCTTTCTCTTCCCATGTGAGAAACCAGTCAACAGCGATATGCTTTAAGCATTGCAGACCTCTAACTGCCTGGTTAAGGCTCCTACAACAGACTAGGACCCAATTCATAAGCAGAGCAAATTCACAAGGTACAGTACGGTCCTTTAATTCCTAAAAAATACAACTTACACCTGAAACACCGCTTGAATCTCTTTACCCAGCACCTTGAAAATACATTTAAAACATAAGTACTTATGTTTTTATGGTTGACCCTCAAATAACTGTTATTTGTGGATCAGCCCGGCATCTGTGCTGACAAGTAATCCTAAGAACCCCAAAAGCAAAGCAACATTTGCACTGAGGTCCAACAAATATATAAATACAGTTCCTCTCCCACTTGGTCAACTTAACAGTGCACAGTTTTATATACAATATCAAAAACGATCATTCTTGCCTTTAGCATATTTAGGCTCTAAGTGTTGGATTCATTTGTAATTCTTTACTGCCCTCTAAGGGCTGTTGAAAGAACTTCAAGGTTGATTTAAAAACACAAAGGTCTCTTACAGGCTTGACCATGTGGTTTAGGCATTTTCAGCCAGAAGCTCTGCTCATCTGGAGATGCACCATAAATAGTGCTGAGTGTCGTCAAAAATTATAAAAGCTTCTTTCTCTAAAATAGTTTCTTTACAATTCCAAACTCCCCTCCTTCAACCTGTACTTAGAACTGATGCTATGTTTAAAAGTGACTTTGTCAAAGCGCGCATCTGATTTATTTCTCAAGACCAAGGACTCACGAACGCTGATGAGAACCGGGAGTTTTCACAGCTCCTGCGGAAGGTCTCATCACTGCTCAGCTCCTCCTGCAACTCTATCACCAGGCAGGGGGTCATGACGACTCTCCCGAGGCTGCACTGGTCTTTACACAGATTCCATCCTGACCACCCAGGAGGGAATGCTGTCACCATGCCCAGCCCAGACAAGGAAACTGAGGCAGAGGATCAGGAACCCCACTGAGGCCAGACAGCTGCTGCTGGCGAAGTGGAACTAACCAGGCAACACAGCCCGGCATCTGTGCTGACAGCTAACCACTCAGCCTGAAGTCTGGCAGAGAAAACTTTTCATAAATGTGTTAACTACTGAGGACTGCTCACTCGTCCATATATACAAAAATGAAGTGCACAAGAAGAAACTTTTTAAGAGAAAAATGTCTACTCATCTTTTAAGTTATCATTTCACTAAGTCTACAACAGTCAATTGTAAGATGAATCGTTATCATAATAATCACCAAGAAAGAAAAACATCTGCCAATTAAACTGGCAAAATGCCCTAAGAGTCCTGTGGGGACACCTCACCTGTAAGGGAGTGGACCACCTCTCCTGCCTCAACCACATTCAATTTTATTTCTAATAAGGACCAAAAAGGAGATTATTTCAACACCACTCTTATGGGGAGGGGAACCTCCATTCACCCCCTCCTCCCAATACACAAAGGCTGAGAAAGAATACAAGCTCATTTACTTGTATTTCTCTATTTCTTTTTGTTAAATGTTATTTCAAATACAAATTCAGTTGCCACTAATAGCGATACTTTTTAGAGTAATTAAATCTAACAAAAAATATTCCATACCACTGGAAAGAAACTTTTGCACCATTTTAGTATCAACAATTATTTGTTGTCCAGATGAGTAGCAAATAGATAAAAATACATACAAATGTCTTAGGAGACCGTTATCAAAACCCCTTGTCCTAAGCAAATCATTTTCGAGAATAACTATTAATTGCAAACAACTTATTTTGGTGAACACTATTAAAATGACATCTGGGGTGACAATTATTGATGCTATACACACTGTGCATTTGTGAAGAACTCCAAAGGTTGAGAGGAGCACTTTATGGAATCTTTCTACATGTTTGACTCAGATTTACGGTTGGTGGGACATTTCTAACTTTGCTATGATAACAAAACTAACTAGCTGGTTGATTTCTGCTCATTAAGTTGCCTGGCCATCAACAACTTTACAACACTTCCTTACAAACTGAAGGTAAGAACACTATACTCCAACAGAAACATGGGCAAAAAAACAATTTCCTGAAAAAAATAAATAAATGGCAAAAAAAAAAAAAGTGTTTACATTCAGCAATATAAAAGCATTGAAAACATTAAAATGAACTTCTATTTTCACCTATCAAATTGACAATTTGTTTGAAGGCACTACCCAATGTTAGCCAAAACACCAGTAATGCAGACAACTTTCAAGCAAGCGAGAGCTGTGCTCATGGGTATGTAAACTAAACCAGCACAACCTTCCTGAAAGGTAATCTGACAATACGCACCAACTAGTTAAAATATAAATACCAAGTATTAGTAAGTATAAAGTGAAACTAAAATTCAGACCTGTTAGCCCAGCAATTCCATTTCCAATTCATCTATTCTAAAGAAATATTCAGAGGCACATAAATATATATTTACAAAAACCTTACAGCATTATTTGCTAGTGGAAAAAGTTAAAAAAAGAACTACATGCACGTCCAACCAAAGAAAAAAGATAAAATGGTACGTACACAAGGCAATAGCATGCTATTAAAAATACTTTAGAAGTTTTAATAAAAAGGGAAAAGGATCAGTGAAAAAAGATGAAACTAAACTCCACATAATAGGATCAGTTATGTTAAAGTTACTAATTTCACAAAAAATATATTTTCCCATGCATAGAAAACTGATCAAACAAATGAGTTATCCTCAAGTAGAAAACAAAACTCAATGCTGTTTCTTCAAGACAAGAGAAAAGCAAATTCACATAGACATTGCTAAGCTGATGTTCACATCAGAAAATGTTTCACGGCCAGCTATACTTAAAATTGTTAGGAAGCTCAGATTTCCAAGGGCTAAAAATAAAAAAAATACAGATGTTTATTGTGAAAAGAGAAGAGCGACACAATGACAAAGTATTTGCAACAGAGTGAACGGACCTAAATCAGACAGTAAGAAAGACGCTGGCACAGAGACTGACAGCTAGGACTGCTCCACTCACTCACATTACGAAGGCTGCTGGGGCAGGAGCACCACAGGGAAACCGAGAACTCACAGGTGCAAGCCAGGAAACCAGGCAGTGGCCCTCGACTACACAAGAAAGACTCATGACAGAATGGGAAAGAGAGACAGACACAGGGCCAGGAGGCAGGGTGAGCTTCTCTCAGGGACCAACGATTCCTGCCTTCCTGCCTCCCTTCAACAGGCAGCCCGCATTCACCAGAAAGCAGAGGCTGAAGGCAGTATGCTCTGTCCACACCACTACAGTATCTGAACAAAACATTCCCTCTCACTTCCTTCTCAGCCATTTCAGGGGTTCCCTGCTGTTAACTTTCTATAAGTCCAGGAGCACAAGATACCACGACCCAGCTGAAAAGACCTGCTGGGAGCACCAAAAGCACGGACGCCCAGTGAAACTGCTCATTCCACGTGTCAAACGCGCCAGTGCCCACCATGCCCCGCCTGCTGGGCGTCATCATTCTGGAGCTCTGGGAGCTGCTCCAGGATCAGCCTCGACCTGGCACACAAGTAGAGGTCACATACGCCTTTCTTCAAACGACCGTTCCTTTTCTAATAATTACTCCACCAATCAAAGGATCAAGCGTACAACAGCTTAGTTCTTCTTTAGAGACATATTTGTTGAAATACTTTCTCAAAGGTTTTGACCAAATCAATTTCAATATAAAGATTTCAAAAGTATTCATAATTGAAGTCATTCAATATTTATAACATTAAAATAAACCTGTCTGGCCTGAGAATTTTTCTATAGCTTTTAACTGTAAAATAATATTATAAAATATTTCCATGTCTTAGTTTATTAACCAAAACAAAACATTAAAGCAATTCCCAAACAGACTTTCATTAAAACATTAAGTGAATTTTAAATGAGCCAGATTAAACAGCTGTCGTTCCTTAAAACTTAATTTTTCTAAAAAATTACAGTACATATATGAACACTAGAGTGAAAAACAAATGTGATTCTAAAAGAAATTTCACGGTCTAAAAAAATCTAACTTGACTCAATTTTTTTTCTGATTTGCACAGAAGTCAAGATAAGCAGTATTTTAAATGAGACTTTTCACAAAAGCCAAATCCAAAAGCACATCATGAATCACTTTTCAGTTCGAAGACTTGAAGCACATTTCATTCCCTGTGAAGCTGCTGCAAGCACCCGCCAGGCGGGGACGCAGCTCACCCGGCCCGCCTTTGGACGGGTTTACCTGGCATGTTTCTCAGGAGCTTCGCGTTGCACATATGGCCCTTTCGGATGTCAGTAAGGATGTATTCCATCCGCTTAGCCCTCCAAAGGAAGTTAAACACTCTTAGGTAGTGGCTCATGCACTCTCGAGTGAACACCTGAAAAGAACAGCAGAAGACAGTGACAGCACTCTGTGACATGAGCAGCCTCCCAGTGTACGTCTCAATCTTTTTTCCAAACAAAAAGGCCAGAAAATACACAATCAATTCCAATAAATTCTAAGCAGTATGTAAGCAACAAATATAATCTGGTACATCTTAGGAAAGTACACTGTGTCACAACAACTAGGCTGACTATTTACGTCCAAGCAGCAGGGCCAGTAAACTCACAATAAGAGCAGTAGATATTGTTACACTCATTTTACAGACAGGGAAACGGGCCTGTGGGCACACAGCCAGTAAACAGGCATCGGGACTCTGAACCCCAGACTAGACCTAGTCTAAAACGTAGGCTCTTAACCTCAACTCCAATGTGCAGCAATGTTTTCTACCCCAACCCCCTGGGGAGAAGTGAATCTCATGGAAGGCGGGCCTAGAAGCTCCAGTCTAAAAAGAGGTCCCCAGGTTATTTTAACAGTGCTTGTTGCTCCTGAAGACCAACTCATGCAAACGGACAGCTTCACAAGCAGGGAGGACGAGCCGCGTGGGCAGCGACTGCCTTCCATGCCTCCCTCCCTCCCACGGTGGCCAGGTTTAACACAAAAAAATACAGGACGCCCAGTTAAATGTGAATGTCAGATAAACCACGAATTATTTTCTAAAATTATAAGTACAAAGGTAACAGGGTTTTCTGCAGACTGTAGCCAAACACATTTGTGACACAACATTGGCACATTTTCATCCTTTTCTAGATGCCTCGAGCAGAGAGCCATCTGCGTGTCTCCAGTGTTCACCTCACAGTGCAGAGAACTGGAAGCAGCCGATGGGAACAGAGCCTGCGCCCCCTCAGCAGGGCTGGACGGGGTACCCAGAAGACCTGCTCTGCTCTTGCAGAGCTGGCTCTCACCCCTGCGCCCTGCCTGTCCACATTCTTAGGCCTTCGCTCACATTACTCTCACAGTGCCCCACGCCCTATTCACCCTTCTCTCCTGCCCAAATCAACTGTCACTTTCCATACTTTCCCTGTCTCAGCAGTCTCCCTCTTCTTCAGACACTTAGGACGTTCACGCTTGATGCTTACAATCTTAGCACTCAACTGGAGGCTGCTTTACCTTGCTTCTTATTTCGTACACTCTTGGCACTGCTCACCTGTTACAAGGACTATCTGTTTGTTCTTCTGTGTGCCTTTTTGTGCCAGTATTTGGTAGGTGCTCAATAGTAACTGGCGATTACATGTCTAAACAAAAGTGGTTAGGAGTGGCTTTGAAGGGACTCCGAAATCAACTATGAATGTTTCAGAGATTATCCATTTTGCTGTGCTGCCCACATTATTAACATTCTTGCTATTATAGAAATAAAGGATACCAGATTAAATAATTTTACAAATAAATTCAAGGATTTTTTGCTAAACATATGATATCTTATTGGGGTTCTTGAGTACCAAGCTGCCAGAGAACATTTAACACGACCTGATCTACAAAAATAGAGTTTAATCACAATTCTTTAGAAACATAAACTGTTTAAGAGAAAGACATGCATACTTCACTGTATTTATATAGGGAAAGCATCCTCCACATTTTAGTTTTGCTATGTATATGGTCTTTCAGTTCATCACTCACTGGAGAATAAAGTTCAGAGAAATACTAAACAAACAAGCTTCCGATACCTCATCTAACACTGAGATCAGTGATAGATACAAATGGATTTTATCCTGCCCATTGTCAAAATGAGAAGATTAATGATAATCTTTCCATATCTTTCTTCAAAGAATTAGTAAGAAGTTAAAGTGATACTATATTATATAAGGTACAATTATTTAACTATGTACCCATTATAATTAAATTCTGTATAAAAATGACAATCTCAATGAGAATACAAAGGGAACAGAGATAAAAGGGTAAATTAAACAGGGAAAAAGCAGAAAAATCCATAAAATTTGACTCAAAGTTATTTTTAAAGTCCTCTTTTTATCTTTCTAGTAACTTCTGTATACAGCATGAAATTTCATCTCTGATAACTAAAAGTTATTTCAATTTCTAAAATTAGTCCGAATACCTGTAGCTGTACAATATGGCTACAGATAGAGCCATTTAGCTGAAAATATACCAACCCAGGATATAAGCTAAGGCTGGAACGACCAAGACCAGGTGTACAGGAGATCTCTTCTCATACGATCTCCCTGGCAGATCCTGCTTGTCAATTATGAGACCCTTGTCTCCTTCCCAATTCAGCCTCTCAGACTGTACCATCAACCCACTGGAGTGGGCATACAAACTGACAGCTATTAGCCATTGACAGGGATCTAGCCTAAATTTCCTTTTTAAAATAAATCTACGATACAAACTTTTGACTCTTTCTACTAGAGCTTTAAAAGAAATCAAACAATTTTAAAAACGTAACATTGCACAATCACTTGTTTATGCACAAGGATGAGTGCTGGCTCAGACACGCCCAGGAAGATCTGCAGTGTCACAAGAAGTGATCGTGCGCAGAGACCGTGCCCACGCTCAAGGCACTCACACTCTGTGACAGAAGTAATACGTAACTACCAACATAACAAGGTAGAAAATATGGAAGTTCCTAATTTAAATAACTTGTTAAAATATCTTGTTTTGTACATTATAATCATTTAAAACTGTTTAGCATATAAGTCAAGATGAAAAGCTAAGTTGCATATGACAATTAGAGAATAGTTATGCCTTTAAAATGTGGTAGTTTTGATCGGGTAAAGTTTAAACATTGGGAATTTATGTGTAAAAAAACCTGCACCAGTAGCTACCATTTCACAGCAGACATGACAGAGCCATCTGTCCAGAGCAAAGCTGTTAACCCAGAAGTGAAGAGAGCAGAGGACTGCCGTGGCGCAGGCTCCCTAGCGGGGATGTGCCTCACACCTCGAGAGGCAGCAGGAGCCGTGGAGTCAGTCCTACTAGAACCGCTAAGGAAGAATTTTAGAGCCAAATTACATTACTTCAGAACAAAATATTTCTCCCAATAATTAAAAGAAATGCATGCCCTTGAATACTTCAGATATAAAAATGACTGAAGTAAGTTCAAAGAGGCATCTTGGTCAAGGAGAACTCAGGTCTAAATAAAGAAAAAATGAGCACGTGAGAAGGGCACTTGAACTGCAGACACATAAAGACAACTTGTATGATCTGGCAACTGTTAACTGAAATAGCATGTTTGTTTCAAACATGGTAAAACCACTATGAACAAAGTACAGCTATTTTCTCACCATCTTAAATGAATACTAAATATCAAATTTTATCCAAGTAGTAAAAATACGATTCCCCTAAAATACACTTTATAGTTCCTTTCAAATTATCCTAAATTAGATGCTAGCATCTAAGAATAATGAAACAAAATGAATAATCCATTTACTAAGTACATGCTGAAACTTATGATAGAACAAATGATATTTTTAAGATTCTTAGAATAATCGAGCATTTCAGCACTTATTCATGATTATTTAAAACACACATACAATTTTGGCCTGAGAATTCATTCAGTGAGTGTACCCCAGATGCCAAGTGATCATGCTAATTAGAAGTTCTTAGAGAAGAATGTTGCCATCGAAACAGCCATGACTAACACAGAACATCCAGAAGGATCTTACAGTTGCGATCGGTCCGTCAACGTGGTAATCCAGGCTGAAGACATCCCACCCTGTGTCACCTGGAGACACCTAAGAGCGAAACAAACAACTGTAGGACTTCCCACCAGTGTTAAGCTTATTGCTGAAGAATCAGTCTAATCTTCCAAGAAAAGGCAGTAAAATGAAGACCAATTTTTAAAAACCATGCAACAGTTTTGAGTGTTAGCTACATGAGAGCGGAGAACTGCATCTTTGTGCCAGTCTCCACAGCCTCAGCATTTGGAGAATGACAGGCACGTGGTAGGTGCTCTACAAATATTTTGGAATAAATGGCATATTTTTGAATGAAAATTGTAAAAATCCATTTAAAATTCATCACTTTTTTTTTTTTTAAAGATTTTATTTTTTTTCCTTTTTCTCCCCAAAGCCCCCCTGGTACATAGCTGTATTATGTTCTTCATTGTGGGTCCTTCTAGTTGTGGTATGTGGGACGCTGCCTCAACGTGGTTTGATGAGCAGTGCCATGTCCACGCCTAGGATTCGAACCAACGAAACACTGGGCCATCTGCAGCGGAGCGCACGAATGTAACCTCTCGGCCCCGGGGCCAGCCCCAATTCATCACCATTTTTAATGACAAAATTCCACTGCCTTTTATGTTCCAAATCCTTAAAAGTCAGCATTTAGAAAAACCCAACAGTTTCTGCTAATGGCCCTTCACCATAACTAAGCAAACAGTGTATGACGTTTCTGATACTCATGCCTCTAAGAAAAGCCATCTTCCCTCAAACTGAAACTAAACACATCTACTTTAATAAGTATTATTATTACATACCATCTCTGTGATATCAACGTTACACTAACAGAAACTATGGTTTGCTAAGCACCCACAACGTGCTAGCAAGCGCTGTGGCCAGTGTTGCAGACCTCCGCCCACTCGCCCTGTGAGGGCCCCTCTGTAGGTGAGAACTGAGATCCAGTGAGGCTCAGAGGTACAGTGACCTGTCTAGGATCACACCACAGCAGGCAACAGAGCAGAGATTCCAGCTGCCCAGCCGTCCAGTAACGACTCTGACCCAGGAGACTCAACCAGTGCCTTATACAACACGGAAACACTTGAGAGAATGCACAGGGCCCAGGGAAGCCCACGGCCGTGTGCCGAGCCTAGAGGCGCAGTACCTCCAGCAGCCTCACGTCCAGTCGCTTGAGGATCTCAGGGCTGTCAAACTGGGCGTTGGTGGCTCTGACAGCAGTCTCAAGAATTCCAGTCAAGTTGTGTTGATACAAAGTGGTGGCTGGACGGACAAGCTCTGGTCTTAACAGAATTTTTAAAAATAAAAGAAAATGTTATTTGAAGTCTTAACGAGTTTTGTAAAAGCAAGATTATAAAAAGAGTTCAAATTTTAAAAACTAAAAACACAAATGGAACACATACAACATGGTAACAAAAGTTTCACAGAATTAACTATAAATAGGATTTCACTAAGTGTTCTGGGAAGCAAAACATTTCTTTAAAAATCTCAAAAAAATTAATTTTGATTCAGCTTAAATTAGAAATACTTAAATGTGCCATACATGTTAACGAATAAAGTTTTCAAACTTAAAACCAGCCTCTAGTAGCATGAACTATTGCAACTTCCTACACAGACCCAATGGGAGGAGAGGTCTTCATTCAACCAAAACAGCGGGATACGTGGGCGTCACAGCTCTGAAGGTGAAAACCTACGGCAGCATCAGCAAACGCTTCCTGAGGTTTATTAACATCGGGGTTTCTAATATGAAGCGAACCTTTCTGTGACGGAGAGCTGGCCAAGTTAAGAGCACAGCCCATCACTAAGTGTAGGGCTCTACAGCAGGAAAGCAGCAGGCAGGCACAGGTAAACGAGGCCCTGCAGCACCAGCTTCCTCGAACAAATCTGAGGCAACGACCTAGAGACTGACGACGTTCCCCTTTTAAAAGTTAAATCAAGTCTTTGAGAAGAAATAAATTTTTCATTTAATAGCAAGAGTAAGATGCTGTAAATATTAAAACCTAGCATAAGGCAAATGCGTTGTCAGATAAATGATCTGATCTTAATGTCACCATGGACCTGAAATTTCGCTTTAACTTTAAACTGTAAGAAGTGCCCGCTAACCTCCCCCGCTTCACCCTGCACACCTGCACCTGCGGGTCTGTGCGTCCCACATCCTCACATGCACTCCCATTTCAGCCCTGCGACACTTACAGGACGTTTTCCCTTTAAACACTCGTCATCACTCACACTTCCCCATTGACCTCACAACCAGTATTCACTACGGACCCTTTTCTTTACTTAGGCGGCAGAAATGCTACTTCAGTAAGCACAGCATGCTCTGTGACCAAAGCACCTAAGTTTATCAGATAATCAACCCTTTCATGAGATAACTGATGGAACACTGCTACCCACGAGCACGTAGAAGGTCAGTTATTGCTATGTGTGTCTCAAAACTAAATTATTTTTCATATTGCAGACTGACTTCTGGTTAGAAGTGGGACTACAGGAGCATGGCCTGAAACAGGGATTCTCAAAGCATAGTCCTCAGACCAGTGCATCAGCTTCAGCTGGGACCCTGTTGAAAGGCACACTCTTGGACTCTACCCCAGACCTGTGAACCAGACTCTGGTCGGCCCAGCGATCCAGTTCAACGAGTTCTCTAGGGGATTCTGATGCACACTGAAGTCTGAGGACCAAAGACGCGAAACAGTCACTTGATTGGCACAGGCAGGACTGAAAGGGAATGCCATTTTAAGTGTCCTGAAGTGAATGTCAAAAAATCATCATTTTCATTCTTGTAAGTCTGAGTGGAAACACTCGTCCCGTGCTGTGGCCCCCACTCGGCACACACTCGCTCGCCAGTGCTGCCTGGGAGCCCCAGATCTCACCCCGAGGGTCTCATGGTCTAGTCTAGAGCCAGGAGAAAGACAGGCTCTGCACAGAGCTGTCTGCGTCTCTATGGAGGGAGGGGAAGGACACACATTTAGTTCTGGAAGGGAAGATGCCATGAGAAATGTCAGGGAACAAAAGGAAGAGTAGTAGTATTTGTTTTCTGGGGTTTTCTTTTCTTTTTTACAAGAAACAATGTAAACTAAAAATATGGAACAAAAAGTTCGTTTTAAAATACACAGTATTCGTAAGGTACACAAGCTTCTCCTTGATAAAGCAGCACAAGCAAAAATAAAGGGACTTTAACATGACAGTGTGATGATTTTATCTTCTCAGATTTTATCTTATCAATATGTTCTATAAGAATTCAATAAGTTTTCCTCTAATGCCATGTATTCTTTTAAACAAAAATTGTAAGACTTTATCATGTTGAACTCTACTATATATTTATAAAAATCAAAACAGTTTTCTTACTTGAGCAAATCCATTAAGTGCCTTATGAAGTCTCCTTGACCGAGAAGCAAGTAGCGCCTCATGGCCTGCATGTGGTCCAGCAAGCTATACTTTTTATTGAGAACGTCCAATAGATATTTGCTGGTCTCAAAATAAGCTGCATCAATTTTCCCCTGAAAGGCATTTTCCAAATCTGTGAATAAATCTGCAGCTGTAAAGAACAAAAGGGAAAAGTACACATACATACATAATTTGTATTTTAACAAAGGAAAAACTAAAGGCACACACGTACAAAAGTCATTGCCAATGCCTGAAAACGGCCCTGGTGAGAGACCAAACAGGCCATACGCATGGTCAGGAAGGCAAACTGGAGTCCTGAGCCCATGAAATGAGAAACACTGATGTCCGGCTAGATTTACAGCAGACGCCTGCGCTGTGACCTAGGGGAGGAACCCCCAACAGCATGTTCAACACTGCACATTTAAGGGTCAAATCACCTTCTACAACATAACTAACTCGAAATCCCACTAAAACACTGTGGTGAACAGTGAAGAGCATAGGGCAGGCCAGTGTTGAGTCGCCTGCATATGCCTACGATACATTTGCAAAACTAGTCTCAAGAATAAACCAAAATGGCACGCGTAATAAGCCTCATGAACTACGAAACTCGGTCTAAGGGTTAGTACTATTATCAAGTGACCACGTGAGAGTGTCAGAGACAAGTCTAGGGAAAGATGTGGAAGTTTCCAGGGACAAGTAATAGAGCAGGCTACACCAATGAAGCAGCATAAACATAAACATAAAAAAAATAAGCGTTTCCAGAGTTTTACATTGAAAAGAAATAGCATGTGGAGATTACAGACATAATAGAGCTTTTTAATGCTAATTTATATCTGTACAGCACAAAACTACTCGTAAAATATATCTAAATACTTGTTTTTATTTGAAAACCAGAATAACATGAGCTAGAAAAGAACCCCACTGTGGAGAAACAATCCAGGATTGAGAAGAGGCAGGGTGCTTGTCCAGGTGACACAGAACCAAGAGGCAGGCTCTTCAGGGTGCAGTCTAAGTGTCCCCACTACATCAGTTACCAATCAGAAGACACTAGGGCTGCCTTCTGTGTGCTCTGCGGAGCAGTCCTGCCGCAACCCCAACCACAGGCGAACAGGGGACACAGTACGTGAACAGGGGACACGGCGTGTGCAATTGAGGAGCGCGCACTGCGCTCTGCAGAGGTGAGGCCTGAAGACGCGGTCCACCCAGGACACCACTCGGGGAGTGGCCCCGTGGCCATATTTTAAGGGGGGCAGGGATGTATATTTCTGTTAATCTAGGTAGTTTTAAAAATGTAAATATTTCCCCCCAGAAATATTTTTACTGTACCATCATTTGAGTCATTAAGGATTTTCATTCCAAAGAAAAGGTTTAATTTCACTGATTTCAGCCTAAAGTGGCCTATCAGAAGACACGCGATCCAGAGCTCCCTCGTGCACTCTTTGCTCCTTACCAGCTTAGGTATACCCTATCCTCCCGTTTGTAAAAATTTACTCTTTATTCTTTAGTCACACTTTTAAATCGTCAAAATTTTTCTACACATAAGAAATATAAATTTGACTTCTTCCATTGCTTTCTGTATATTAACAGTCCTTCAGGGTTTGTATCTTTTATCTTCTCAACCATAAGCTTAATAGCAAAAAAGCCCCTTGTCCTGCAGACTACGGAGTGGGGCGGACGGCAGGCACGGCAGTGGGCACTGTGGCGGCAGTAACTGAACAGCAGAGCAATCTCTGGAGCCCCCTGCCCGCCAGGCATCCACGTAGTGCTGTCAGCCCACGCCTGTGGTCTCCACAGCAGGCGTGCACATGCACCACTGGGCCTCTCGAGTGGGTCCTCTTTTCTACGCACTAAGAAAACGTCCAACGCTATCAAGGCAACACTTCCCCTGGCTCTTCCTCCTTTAGTACCTCTTAAACATAGGTATTTCCCCAAATCTGTACTTGGATCACATCTCTCTCTATTCTGGGAACTAACCTTGGGTCTATGGATCCCTAAAACATCTATGAAAAACTGTGTTAACCGCAGTTGGGGCGAGGAGCAGGAGGGGTGCGAGGGAGCAGCGTCTGACCCTGACAGCTGGAGCTGCCGCTCTGCCGTGGAGCCCCGTCCCTAATCAGCACAGCACTTCCCAAATCGCTATGGTCAGCCTGACCTTGATCTGGATTTCCAGGACATTCTGGAAATCTCCTCTAGTGGGTCCTCTCAGATACTGAAAATCAAACTGGGCCAACAGGTACATGGAAAGATGCTCAACATCATGAATCATCAGGGAAATGCCAATCAGACCACAAACAGATGTCACCTCATACCTGTTATCAAAAAGACAAGAGATGACAAGTGTTGGAGAGGATGTGGAGGGAAATGAACCCCGTGCACTGCTGGTGGGAGTGCAGACTGGTGCAGCCACTACGGAGGTTCCCCAGATAATTAAAAACAGAAATACCATATGACCCCGCAATCCTCCCTCTGGGTATTTATCCAAAGGAATTGAAGTCAGGATCTCAAAGAGATACCTGCACTCCCACGCTCACAGCAGCATTATTCACAATAGCCAAGAGATATGTAAACAACCTAAATGACCATCGACAGATGAATGATTAAGGACGATGTGGTATATGAATACAGTGGAATATTATTTAGCCTTAAAAAAGAAGGTAATTCTGTAATTTGTGACAACATGGATGGACCTGGAGGACATTATGCTAAGTGAAATGAGCCAGACACAAGAAAGACAGATACTGTGTCTAGACGCCACTTACACATGGAATCTAAAATAGTGAAACTCATAAAATGGAGAGCAGAATGGTGGTTGCAGGGGCCACAGTGGGGAGGAAAGGGGGAGGTGAAGGTCAAAGGGCACGAAGTTTCAGTTCTGCAAGATGATTAAGTTCCAGAGCTCTACTGCGTAGCACAGCACCTATAGCCAACAGTACTGCTCTGTGTACTTACAGCACTCTATGCAGCTCGCTCCACTCATTACCACCTTTCCTTACTGACTGACCGATTGCTTATTATTTCATTTTAATGTATATCCTGTCGCCACACCTACATTTTAAGCTCATGAAAGGCAGTCGTGGTGAATTACTCCCTTATAGCTACCACACTGCTCTATGCAAAGTAAACTTGAATGAACCAAGACGACAACATAAATAGTAAATATAACTAAGATTGGAAAGCTATACATGTAAGTCAGGCATACACAAAATACCAAGAAATTACTGAAGTTGGGACAGGCGGCAAAGGAAAAGATGGAAGAGAGGACAGCAGTGAATGAGGAAAAACGACAGAACATTTAATGCAGACAACAACTAATGCAGCATTTTGAATACAATAAATCCATGTAAATCTCTGCTGACTTCTGACTTAGCCTTTGAGTTCCAAAGTATGGCTACCATTAGCTACGTTTTTTTCCTTTATTTTCTTATTCTGGCATACTGTCACTCTATCATAAAATAAAGTAATACAAATTACTAAGAATAGTAAATAGCTACACCTATTCCAACACTTATTGTTTAGCTCTGTATAAAAAAGTGAATTCAAAATTTACATAGTAACAGATTATTTTATATATATTACACTGTGTATTAAGATACTTTGGATGATAATTAAGAAAATCTGTCAGTCCTGTTGAACAAAAAAATACTTCAAGTAATATATATCACCATCACCACCATCATCACCACTATCATGGCCACTGTCACCACCATCACTGTCACCACCATCACCACCATCACCTTCATGATCATCACCACCATCACCATACCATCACATTATCATCACTGTCACCACCATCACCATACCATCACATTATCATCACTGTCACCACCATCGCCACCATCACCTTCATGATCGTCACCACCATCATCATACCATCACATTATCATCACTGTCACCAGCAGCATCACCACCACCACCACCACCATCATCATACCATCCTGGGGTGATTCTGCAGACTTAGTCACAGCTATCATCTTTGTCGTGGGTGCCTGGTCATGACAAACTTGGTGCAGGAAATTTATTGACTTTCCTATCAAAAGGACCTAAAAAAGGGAAAATATCTTAAAGTTACCTTTATATAAAATTAAAATGATTGCTAGTCAAACCACCACAAATATTCATAAGCAACAAATTGACTACTGATTAAAAACCAAGTAACAAGAACATCTGGCATAGTCACAAGGGAATTCTAGGAACTGAAAAGATACGTTATTAACAAACATAGTAATACGTTGATGTATTCAAGTAACATATACTTCACCTCAAGAATGTTAATCCTAAAATACAATAAAATTGTGTTTAATTGAAGATTAGTTTTGTCACACGATCCAGGTAGATATAGCATTAAAATATCAAAATCACACAAATCTCTTCTAACCCTACCTTCCTAGATTGATCCATGGTAATAAACGAAGGAATCATCGATTTCCTTAAAGTATACTTGTCATGCCAGAGTCGATCTGTTTTAACTGTTGGATCCGATGCTACAAAAAACTGAAAGCAAAGAGACATTGAAACATTAAAAAGTGATGTTTACAGCAAAATAGTAGGTAACAGTAACACTAAGTTATTCTAGAAAGCAAAGTTCTCCAGATACAGGGAGACTTAACCATTTATACAATAAAACTTGTTTTAAAAAAGCATGTTGATCTCTCTCTAAATGGAATCATGTATTTCCCAGACTTCTAGAAACAAAGTCTAACAAAAACAATTAAGCTTTTTCTTGAAGACTTACGAGCATTATGAATATTGATGATAGCCTCTGCTGAGTTAACACTGAGGATCTGTTAGGGCTGCCTAATCCATATGGAGCTCTTCTCATCTTAGTAAAAACATGCAGACTTCTAAAGCTGTTTGAATCTTCCATTCATGCCTGCTTCATAGTTTCTCTGTCCTCCTTTCAACTACTCAGCCAGGTCTCCTTCGACCAGTGTGCCCGCCTTCTGCAGGCTCTCTTCCAGAGCCCCCCATGTCTGGAACAGAGATGTCCAAGCTAACGTTCTCTGCTCAGACTGTCAGCTACAGGTAGACTTTGACGTACAAAGGGCCAGCACCAGTCTACCAATGGCCCCACAGGAAGTGACCTCCCGGAGACCCAGCCATGCTCAAAAGCTTCTCCCTTGTCCACTGTGCTTCTCACATTTGCCAACCCCGCTGACCAGCCTGGTCATTGACATCAGGAAGGACAAGTGGTGGTAAGGAGGAAACTAAACTGCTCTTGTTCCCAGTTCACTGGCTATTACAAGGCCATTCTCATTTTCCAGTCATATGTCCCAAAAAACTTGTGCTTTTGTTTCTATAAACTCAGTTTCTAATAGAACTGAGTCAAAGTAATTTTTAATTTTTATAGACAAGGCCATGTTTCCTTTCCAAATAGCTGTGTCAACTGACACTCTCACCAACAGGAGGCTCTATATTCTGCATCCAGGCTCATTTTAGATTTTGCTGATCAGTGAGGTGAAATCACGGTTGCCTGTAGTGCTATTTTACTGACCACATAGGAAGTTGGGCCTATTTTCATAACACTATTGCCATTTCTTCTCCTGTGAATTGTTTTTTCATATCCTTGACCTGTATTTCTATTGATTTTTTCTTTTTCTTATCAATATATAGGGATTCTGTTATATTAGGGATAGTGACCATTTGGGAATCATTATTACAACTTTAATTTTTCCAAGTTAATCATTTGCCACTGTTTATAGTATGTTTCATGTTTCCATTTTGTTCTATTTTTGTGTTACATAGGTAAGTGTCTTCCTTTATGGCTTCTGAGTTTCCTGTCTTCCTAAGATCTTCCTGTTCCTGGATTACAGAAATAGTCTCCATGGTTTCCCTTCAGTATTCCTACTGTGTTATTTTTATCACCTAGCTCTTTCATCCCTCTAGACTGTATCTTGGGGGAGAGTATGATGTAGGGATCTAGGTTTCCTTCTGGGCAGCATTTTCTCTTTATCGGTCAGTCCAACACCTTTTACTTAATTCACCCTGCTTTCCTCTGAGCTAGGATGCCTCATCAGAAACTATCATTATAATTAATTCTATCAACAGATTAAAAGGGGGAAAATTTGAATATATCAAGAGATGCTGAGGAGGCACTTAATAATGTCTTTATTTAGCATCCTCCAATGGTGACCATTATTTTGTTTTATTGTCATGAACACAGATTTAAGTGCATCTGGTGTTTCAATCCATTACAGTTATTATCCTCACAGGTGCTCCATGTTTCCCTTTCTAGGATGATGCGAGCCTCTTCAAGCTGGTTCCTGAGTCCTTTAGTAGTCTTCCTTGCTTTCGGATTTGGAAGATGCTCTAGGCTCACCTTGTTCATTTCTCCCCCAAACCTAGAATCAGCCACTTCTCCAAGGAGCCCTGGTTTCTTTTAGGGAGAAATAGCATTTGGACCATAACCTCAGTACCTCACAGAATTAAGTTAGAAGCTGGATGGTTTAAGACTCAGTACTTGCTATGTTACACATGGCAGCTTGGTTCCCCAGGTGGACTGTAAAATTCATTTAAGACATAACATACCTAAAATGCCTTTTTAGGATTCTTACATAAATTCCAAATCGCCAATAGGTGAACCACACACAACCTGACTAGGAAGATGTGTCTGTCTACAGATACAAAATGGATTTAAAGAATTTTTAAAGTATTTTTAGCAAATATATAGCAATACAAAATTAATGGTTTCCTAGCAAAATGTAAATAACCAAAATTAACCCATGGAGAGAGAGAGGAGTCCAAAAAGAGCAGTATCTTTAGAAGATAGCAGAAATGTAAAATGCTATTATTAAGGCACAGATCCTACTGAAGTTTTAAAAAAAGATGTCATTCTCATGTTATTTTTTTTTTTTTTTCAAAGATTGGCACCTGGGCTAACAACTGTTGCCAATCTTGGGTTTTTTTTTTCTGCTTTATCTCCCCAAACCCTCTCTGTACACAGTTGTATATCTTAGTTGCAGGTCCTTCTAGTTGTGGGATGTGGGACGCCGCCTCAACGTGGCCTGATGAGCGGTGCCATGTCCGCACCCAGGATCCGAACCCTGGGCCGCTGCAGCAGAGCACGCGAACTTAACCACTCGGCCACAGAGCCGGCCCCTCATGTTATTTAAAGTATTCTAGACCAAAGAATGCCCTAGTTCATTTTATGAATCTATTAAAACACTAGTAAAACGTGATAAAAATAATATCCAAAATGGAAAGCATGGGCCAGTTTCATTTGTGAACATAAAGAAATTCTGAACAAAATATTATCCTTGCATTACTAGATTAAAATATTTTTGGTCAGGGTATATTACACTTCCAATATACTACTAAATGTCTAACAACAAGGACTGTATAAAAAATGATAAATTATTATCATGTAGTCATTAAAAATAAAGTTTGGTCTTAACTATCACAAACCCTTCTGAGAATCTGATGAAAAGTACAGATCTTCTTCCTAGGAAAAAATGCACATATCCACAAAATACAGTTTGTATGTACTATTCAGGAGTTTCAGAGATCACATTTTAAAAAGCCTTTGTATAGAAGAATAGTATTTAATGGCATAAAATTATTTTCATTATTTATTAAGTAAAAAATAGTAAAACCAGGGGCTGGCCCCATGGCCGAGTGGTTAAGTTCATGTCCTCCGCTTCGGCGGCCCAGGATTTCACCGGTTCAGATCCCAGGCTCGGACGTGGCACCGAGGCCATGCGGAGGTGGCGTCCCACATAGCATAACCAGAGGAACCCACAACTAGAATATGCAACTGTGTGCTGGGGATCTTTGGGGAGAAGAAGAAAAAAAAAGAAGATTGGCAACAGTCGTTAGCTCAGGTGCCAATCTAAAAAAAAAAAAACAGTAAAACTAAAGGTTACAAAATACTACGCATGGTAAACACACAGAAATAAACAAAAATACACTGTAAAAAAGGGACATACAAAAATACTAACAGAGGTTATCTGTTCATGATGGGATTACTAATAAATTTCAATTTTCTCCTGTGTTTATATGCTCAAAGATTTTTTAATTGCACAAATATTTTTAAATCATAAAAAAACACTGTTCAAAAGAATTGCATAATTCTAGCCAAGAAGTGAACACACAGTACCAGTAAGTTTTTAGTAACATCATTTTCCCAGGACAACTAACTAAAAAAGATTTTTTTTTTCCTGTTCACAGAAATCCACTCTGAAGGGTAAATATTTAAGCAAAGAAAATTTTTAATGATGTCAAGGCCTTATATTTGATCCTATAAGTCAGGGCTAGATGGCATCAATTAAGTACAGCTAATCTCCTCTATAAGTAGGTATCTGAGTAAATGCCACCATTTTTATGACCATGAAGATGAGATTGCTACATTTATTTTCAACTCAAATTTCTTATCTTTAGGTACCAATTTAAATGACTAAGTATTTATTGATCTTTATTTTTTAGACTTTTTTGATTTACATTCCCTTTCTAATTTAAACACATGATGAATGACGGCTTTGAGGGATAATCAGAGCTGCCATTATGAGGCTATCATCACCTGACCACAGACTTCAACCACCCCGAGAGAAACAGAATCGTTACAGGCCCACCAGGAGGAATGTAAAAGGTTACCCAGCACCATGCTTGACTGCTCTGCAGCCTGCCATTCAACAGATTAGATTAATTGCATATAAATTGTATTTATCTGTTATTCACTTAAACAGAAGAGCCAGTTTCCACAGACAACACACTAATTTATCCTGATAGTTGGAGTGCAGCTGGATTTTTAACAGTATGAACAATAAGAAAATTTAATTTAAAAGATAAAACCTCAGACGATTCCATCATCTTTAGAAGCTCTGAAAGCACCCCTTCAGCTGAGGGCAAAGTGCCATGCAATTACCCTTCCAGCACACATCCAGCAGCAAACACCGAGAGGCACAGGCACACCACAGAACAGAACTAATCCTCCGAAAAATACAGTTACAGAGGGAAAAAATCAAGGTCAGAATATAATTGCAATATGCTTTTATTTCATTGGTGCACTTTTCACTCAAGTTTCTTTAATTTTCACCATTATGTCAAACACAGAAAGAACTGAGGGAAGAAATAAAACACAATTGTACCGTGTCTCTCATTAACTGCTGGACAAACGCCAAGGCCTCCCTATTAAGAACAGACATGAAGAGGGTGATTTTCTGAGCAAGCAGCTGAGTTTCTAAGAACCAGATCCATCCACACAGACCACAAAAGACCCCAGCTTCAGCCTGTCAACAGGCAAACAGCCACCAAGAGTCCCGCCGCCGGCCACACCCTGAGAAGCCCACCTGCAGGGTGACAAGGACACTGACAAGGCAAATTGATACATTACAGTATTTCAGGGGTAGGGCAAAGAAGTGCCAAACAAGAGGATATTTACATGGTAAACTTTAAATTTCAATAATTCTTAGCAAAAGCATAAAAGCAACAAAAGAACAAGTCCGAATGGATCCACAGAGAGAAATATTCCAAAAATCAGGTACCACATCATCTCTAAG